CAGTATATTTTATTGTCCCATTGATATCAGGTCCCCAAGCACATCTCCATGGCATGCAGAGCAAACTGCTTGTATCAGCGTCTGTATAGCAGGCACTGTCGAGGGGGTCTTAGTTCACTCTAGCCCTACCTGGAAGAAAAGAAGAATCTCTCCTGTCCGTACAGGTTGGCGAGAGGCACAGGGTTTGGCTTTTTCCAAGAGAACCATATGTAAACCAGACCCATATCAATAAACTCCCCTAATAAAAAATTCAGAGTTACAATACAACAAAGCTCAAATGACAACACAGTTTAAAAAAACTGACTAAGGCGTCGGTGGATTCTCTTGTCTAGATTGCTGAGTTGCAGTTCTGGCTCACTGGTGTGACCTTGAGTTTGGTTCTCGGTTCAAGGTTTGATAAATGAATCTACTTGAAGTACTTTGAACAATGTTGGGTAAATAATTAACACTATCTCATGTTAGCTATTAATATTATTATTATTAAGAGAAATTAACTTTTCAGTGCTAGGGATCAAGCCCAGGACTTTATGTATACCAAGCAAGCACTCTATCACTAATCCACATGTCCAACCCTTGAAAATAATGTGAAAGAATACCCTACACGTTAATTATAAGAACCCATGACACACTCATCTCATATATTTCTGTCAGTCTTAAGTATTCTTTTGTTGTTCAGTCCTGGGATTGAACTCAGGGTCTTGTGCGTGCGAAGCAAGCACTCTCTCACTAAGCTACATCTCAGGCTCTGATTTTAAGTATGTTTAAGTCCAAAGTACCATAAGTTTATAAGTACTTTTCATGGATTTCTCTTCTTCATTTGAAATTTACTTACAGCACACAGACCTTTATATGTATATGTATGTGTGTGTATATGTAGATATCTATAGATAGATAGATATAGATATAGATATATACACATGCCTATATAGACATGTGTCTATACATTCACATACAAAGATAGATATACTAGGCTTGCTATTTCCTTTCAAAATAATAGAAGAAAATTATATTCATGTGACATAGCTCAACAAAGTACTTTAAAAATCACTGAACACTACAAGTTAGGCATTTCAGTTAGCCTATTTTGACTATGACTCCCTATTAAGTTAAAAAAAAAAAAGAATCACCAGTCACCAAGAAGACTAGCATCCCAGTAAGTTCTCCAAAGCTCTGAGGGACAACTGCATCTTGCCATCTGTTACTGCAATCGTGAGATCAAGTTGAACACAGCACCTATGAAGCAGGCCTTTACCCAAGGGCAGAAGTTGTCCCAGAATTGGCCAGTGTGTTTCAGTGACCATACGCTTTTCAGTGAAGTTTCTCAGTGTTCTGCATGTAACAGTTACCTGTGCATTCGGTGACAGCTGCCCGTGTCACTCCAGCAGTCCTGCCCCAAAGGCAGCTAGTACCCTGCGTGTTCACTCTCCCAGCCTTCCCTCAGCGAATGCCTTTCTCCACTGCATTGAATCCAAACATGCATTCCAATTATGTCATGAAATATCTGTAGGAAATGTCTTTTTGTCTCTGAGTATTCCCACAGTCAACTAAAATACAGACATATAGACTGAGAGCTAGGCTTCTTCGAGATATAAAAAGGAAAGAAAATACCTCTTAAAAACCTTCTATTTTGATAAAAAAAAACTCCTTTTACCATATCTTTTATGCTTCCACCATCTTACAAGCAAGCTAAATATTATACATGCTAACTTACAATAGACCACTCACTACTGCTTGTAAGAAATGATCTCAGGCAGAAAGTATCTTCTGATAATATATGTTCTTCGGAACAAATGTAACTTTCAACAATTGCTAATTTCTGTATTGGTCTGAGATGTAAAAATTTCCCACAGGATGTGGGAAAAACACGTTTTGATTTGTTAAGTGGAAGGATGGCTACTATAGAAAAGGGAGTAGCCACTGAATTTGCAAAACACTTCTGTCTACCTGGAATATGCTATTTATAAGATTCCACACTGAAAACAGTGGAGAAGGAGGAAAACCTTGAATTTTTCATCTGTATGACTGATAGATGGGATTCAACAGGGTTTTTCCTCTCAATTCTTTATTCAGACAGCGGGTTGAATGAGTTAAGCTTCCTCTCTGGTCTTTGGCACAAACACTTCAAATGGAAGTACCACACCTTCAATGAAGTGCCACCATCTGCCATTCCTAGGCAACCGTAGAGCTGGGACAGATGTGAGAGATCATATAGTTTAGTTCCTCACTTGAAACACAAGGACACTAAGGAAGGCTGGGTGAGAGAACTGGACACAGATGACATACATACAAGAGTTTGGTACCCCTGGAGAGATGAGCAAATGATCCCTCCGCTAGATGAATGGACACCAAGGAGGGATTCTTCATTCTCATCTTGGCTTCATCACCAGCCACTTCCTTTCACCCTCAGCAAATTACTTCCTTTCTCTGGGGCTGTTTTTTCTTATCTCTTTCTTAAGTGACTATCTTGTAGGCTTTCAAAGTGCTGGGCTTCCTGAGACAAGACAACTTTGCAATAATATTCAACTTGGGCCTGGAGTGGTTCCATGAATCCAGAGACTAACACCACAAACATGTTCTGATGGACATGCGTGGTCTTCCCTTACCGTTACATTAGAAAGAGCCCATGGGCACAGCTCCACTCACAAGCAGTCAGTCAAGACACGCAGATGAGCAGAGAACACAACAGTGAAAAACCTGGACCACCTTGGCAGAAAAGTTACCATTTCCCAAGTGGCACTAAAAAAAAAAAAAATCTGCCTGCATTTGGCTTTTTTTCTAGAACTCACTTGTGAAACACATGAGCCTGCCTACCTGGAGCTGTAACACCTATTTATATCATACTTTATCCTTATTTCCACCCATTTAATTTTTCCCTAGACCCTCAAATTCCATTAGGCAGGAAAGGCTGCATACAAATGGTGCCTCTTGGAGCAAATCTCTTGCGTCTGCTCTCCTACAAACTGTTTTCTTAAGTTATAAAACAGCAGGGGCTATGTAAACTGTATAGACAGGCGGCCTATTACAATCGAGAGAATTTCCCCTCTGCTTGCCAATTCTTAAAAGTCACGGCAGCTACTATTCCTTTGCTGAAGCTCAACCACCACATGGTCAGTTATTTAAATGTTCCAGGAAGTGTGGGCTGGCAGGGAGGCCAACACCGGACTTCTTCTGCACGAAAGGAGGGGGGAAATAGAGGCCCTATAAAAGGGTCCTCTGGGTGAAGCATCTCCATCAGCCTGGTCAGTGTCTGAAATCACCAACAGCCGGTTGCTGTAGAGATTCTACAGCATCTGTGTGAGGCTGCCAGCCACATAGCTACCCTCGTGTCTGCCCTGTTATCCTGCTCACCTGGCCCTGCACCTAGCTATCCTGTGAACCTGCTTCCTCTCTGGTCCTCTACTCAGAGATTTATGTCACATGTCATGCGGGATCACTGTCTGTCTTTAGCTTAGCCTCCCCCCCTCCCCCCACCGTCTGTATTGGGCAATGACTCTGTAGACCCGTGATTTGGTCTGCTTGCTATGCTCATATGAAGAAGAATCAAGGGGTATCACTGAGTCCCAGAGCTTCCTGAATCTGGTATGGCCAAGATGCCCCAATGGGCTTAAAAAGCAAAGGCTGAAAGAGCCCTCCAGGGAAAATCAAAGTCACAAGTGGAAATGCAGGTAAGGAGACTCAAACTCAGAGCAGCACAATCTGCCGGCTGGCTCAGAAGGCGTGGGGCTCTCGGTGGCTCTACCCACTGTGAGAATCAGGGAAGCCAGGCAGCTGGTAGAATGTATCTTACAGGTAGCCTTTCCTGCATGACCGCAGGAAAGGTGGGGACAAACTGCAGTGACCAATGAATGCCTGGTAGAGGACCACATCCCAGAGGGCCATTTCGAGCAGCCAGGGTACAGAACCATCACACTGAGCTGCGAAGGAGACTGGAGCAGAGACAAAGTGGGGGGTTGGAGGGGGGGGACTGCAGGGGGATTGACAGGGATCACTCACATCCCCTGAAGAGCAAGCGTCCCTGCATACATCACTCATTTCATTCAATTGTAAAAAGAAGTTCTCGTTATTATCTGCATTGCACAGAAGATAAAACAGAGGTGCCCAGAGAGCCTCTGACATCTGCTGAGGGCTAAAGAACTCTATTTCCATGGTCCCAGAAGTCTCCATATTCTTATTCCATTGACCTTTCCACATCACAGACTAAAGGAGAAGACTCATTAAAAACAATCCCCCCCCCAAACTCAGAGGAGAGAAAAATGTTGACTTCACACTAGGAACCTGGCAGAGTGAGGAGATGCCAAGGTTTGTCAGCTCACAGACCTGGAAGCGTAAGCTCTCCTGAGGTCCTGGCAGGGAGGGGCTCAGGAGACACAAGAGTGTTACTTCTGTGTTTCCTCAAAGATAGTCATTAAGTCACCATGAAGACATCTTTCCTGCAGACTAAACAACCCTACTCATTCTTTAAAAAAAAATGCTTTCCTCACAGAAGCTATTTTTTAGGGCTCATCTTTCTATATTTACTGGTCTTTACTGGCCTTCCCAGCACTTTTCTGCCTTCCCGTCGCTATTTTGAACAATTCCATAATAAGATTGTGATATGTGACCGAGAGGGAGGGAAAGGTTGTTTTCATCGTTCTCATTTCCAGCCTTCACCAATTAATCCAAGGCTAGTAGAGATGGCAATTGGTCCCAGCGGTCCACTCGGACCTTCTGGTGTCTTGGCTACTACTGTCTGATCATCTTCCACTTGCTGTTGGCCTTCACTATGTATTTGAGGGTCTGATCTTTAATCTCAAATGGATGCCAAATGGTTCTCAGGCCCTTGAATAGTCTGCTTTCCTTCTGACCTCTCAGAGGACAGTTCTAAATCCAGCCCAGTGAATATGTTTGAGGAACGAAGGTGTGAACAGTAAGAGTTCTCCTCCCCAGAGGGCCCGACATCTCCCCAGAGGGGAAGCTGAAACCATAGATTATGCGGTTCCCAAGAGTGTAGCCCCACTTACTTCGGGGTTCCCGGGGACCATCCACGGTGATTTTGATAGCTCTGTGGTAGGTGGCGACTTGTGGTGGGTTTGTGAAGACGGTGATGGTCAGAGTGAAGCTCTTCCCTGTTGAGACACAAAACAGAATAGAGAAGATTGAGGGATGACCTGAATCACCTGCTGGCATGTGGAGGTTAACTCCCGCCCCCCAGGCCTCACGCTGGGAAGGTGACAGGGCATCACTACAAAGGATTAGGTTTCCCAACCCTCCCTTGGGTCTGGCTTTGCTTACAGGCTGGAATGCACACTGGTGCTATTATTGCTAGGTGTGACACTCCACACAGTTAGAAGGCTTTAATTTCATCACCACTGAACAACACAGGATCAAGAGCAATTTGAGTTTATGTTTCTTCCACATCAAGACTCAGAATCACTCCAGTACTAACACACACACACACACACACACACAATTATTCCTGCCAGTGTCAGTGGCTTGTGCCTATAATTCTAGCTTCTCAAGAAGCTGAAATCTGAGGATCACAGTTCAAAGCCAGCCTAGGTGAAAAATCTTATCTCCAATTAGTTAGCAAAAAGCTGGAAGTAGGAGCTATGGCTCAAGTGGTAGAGCATTAATCGAGCTAAAAAGCCAATCAAGAACATAAGGCTATGAGTTCAAGTCTTCTACTGGCACACACACACACACACACACACACACACACACACACACACACACACACACACACACACGGCTCAGAATCAGAATGAGAGCCATTGACTTCCTAGTTGCTCTTCTTCTACTCCCCATTGCTCTCACAATTCTACATAAAATTAGAGCAAAGAGGAACCATAAAACCAGATCCATCTTTCTCCTCTATCTCTGTATTTCTATGCATTAAAAAAAGGTAGCATTTTTAAGTTTAATTTTAAGTTTAATTAAAAGTTTATTCTAATTAGAACTATGAATTAGAATAATTAGGATTGTTATAATCTAAATTTTGAATCTGAATTATTCTATCTAGATTTTAAAATATTAATTGCTGCTTGATTTTAAATATTAATTGGAAATACTGGATTTTTATCAGAACTACTCATGGGATTGGCCAGAATGAAAGTGATGACCACTAAATAAACTCACAGATAAACATTCAACTTACATCTAATGATTCAATAAATACCATTGTACAAATATATACATAGATCATTATGGAAATATTGTACATATACGTATGAAAGATGAGCTCAACTTCATTGTTTGTGTTTAATACTTTACACATTTCGTCTTGGTAAAGTGGCTTTGAGGATGAATTCTGGCTAAGACCTCTTTGTACTGCAATGTTCTTGCTTGGAAGATGGGTACATTCAACTTTTCCTACCTTACAAATTTGTAGGGAAATAAAATTAGCCCATGTGAATAAAACCATTAATATGGTCTGGCACCTAGCATTCCGAAATGTTTATGCTTCCTAGAACTCCACAATGGGATCTTAATGTTTGATTATGTAGGCATTAAATTCAGTATCTCTGTAATAGTTCTCCAATTAACACAATGTCTTCTCTAACTCAAGTAATATAAAATGAAACAAACAAAATAAAACAGAAAAGCAAACCATGCTCCCTTAACTGCTCTGAACGTTATTTGCCATTTAAAAAGCCAACTACCTTCCTTTCCTAAGTGAGAACAGAATATTTCCAACTACCATTCGTGTTTGAATACATAGGACACACAGGAGTGTCAACGCGACTATATAATCTTTGACCACAGTGAGCCAGCAATTCCTAATCATTAAAAACCCTCCACCAGACAAAGCTGGGAAACAGTGGCACAAACCTATAATCCCAGTTACAAAAAGCTGAAAATGAAACTGTGATTCAAGGGAAAGAATGCTAGCTATGAGACAAGTGGAAGCAGCAGGCCCTGAGTTCAAACCCAGTATTTATGTGCATGCGTGCACATGCGCACACACACACACACACGCTCCCCAAGTATTCACACTGTATCTATCAAAGAGAAGAGCAGCTGTTGATGTTTTGCCAACCAGGAAGCCTGCTCTGCACCCATGGCTCCATTGCCAATGTCGTGGCTAATCTGTCGAATGGACCAGGCAAGGATACTTTCTAGGCTGTGAGATTCCACTCAGAGCCTGGCAGCACAAGAGGCTCTGCAAAGTAATTCTTCCTTATCTATTGGCCTCTCCTGGAAGAGCTCTAAGAATCTGCCATCTTTAGATACCCTTCAGCAGCACTGGCATGTAGGATCAGAAGTGGAAGAGGGGGACAAAAGAACCTCAGGCTGTGCCTAGCAAGGAGGGTGTCCTCATGGGCTCCCCGCTGGAGGCACCAATGGTGTCTTTTGGGGGCTTTCAGTATCGCCAGTCTCGTTTGCCTGCCGTAGCTCCAGTCCCTGCCTTCATCTTCACATGGCTGAGGCCCCATTGTGTGGTCCCGGCACCCAATCCCCTCTCACCTTTTAAGGACACCCATGATGGACGCGAATCCCAGTGGGATTTATCTTTAGCTTTACTTCATCTCTGCAGTCACTGTGGCTGAATGAGAGCATTTGCTGCGATTCCCAGGGGACCTGAATATAGAGAGGATTCTACGCAGCCCAGCACCGACACATAATATCCCAAGAGTTTGTGTCAGAGCATAGAGTGTGTCCCGTCTTCAAGACAGCCCTGCTCCTATGGTGCCCGGCTACAATGACCTGGCCAGTTTCCCAAAGGACAACAATGAACGTGAGGATCAGTAACACTGGCATCTGAGGTCTGTGTACAACTTACAACTTTTCAAGTCTTTCTCCTAGGCTATTTCATTTGATGCTTCCAACCATCTCAGGAATCAAGACTGATTTTGCTTCCTACAATTAATAGGAAGCAAAGCTAAGACTCACAGAAGTTAGGTTACTTTTTTAAAGGTCAGTCACACAGCTTGTACACACAGATGGCCCTGGAGGCCCCTCTCCCCCGGCCCCCTTACATTCACTGTTCTTTGCATTATTGCCATTGATGTCACCAATCTCCACCAGCAAACACTGTACCACCAGCATCAGCAATCTAAACTCATGGTAGGAAAGTACCATGCTTGCTGGGTGCTGGTGGTTCACACGTGTGATCTTAGCTACTTAGAAGGCTGAGATGTGGGGATCGAGGTCAAAGCCAGCTAGGACAGGAAAGTCTAAGAGACTCTTATTTCCAGTGAATCAACAAAAAGCTGGAACTGGAACTAGCCTTAAGTGTAAACGCTAAGGGGCAATTCCCAGGCTTGGAGTTCAAGCCCTCGAACCAGCATAAATAAATAGTGAATGAATCAATAAATGAACGCTTACATAAAGCACCATCTCTACCACCACCCCTCCCCCAAAGAAAACTGCTCGTGAACTGTACTTGACAGTTAACTGTGAACTTGGATTAGAGTTCAGCAACAGTTTCTTCCTGAGCTGGATTTTGGGCTTTTGAATTCCGGCGGTGTCCTCCAGGTTAATTACACGAGCCTACGTGGGATGGACACTGAATCAGAGCAGGGACTTGCGAAATCGTTGCTATCATCATTAATTCTTATCATTTTGGGCTTAGGATTTTTCTTTTTGCTTGTACTGGAGCTTGAACATATAGCTTGGTTGCTGTCCCCTAGCTTTTGTACTTTAGGCTATTGCTCTACTACTTGAGGCTCAGCTCTGCTTTGGACTTTTTGCTGGTTAGATGAAGATGAAGAGTCTCCTAGAGAATGTGGCTCAGTGGTAGAGCCTTGCCTAGCATGCATGAAGTCCTGGGTTCAATTCCTCAGTACCACATAAACAGAAAAAGCTGGAAGTGGCACTGTGACTCAAGTGGTAGAGTGCTAGCCTTGAGCACAGAGAGGCTCAAGGACAGTGCTCAGGTCCTGAGTTCAAGCTCCAGAACCAGCAAAAATAAACATAAATAAATAAATAAAAGAAGAGAGCTAGGGCATAATTCAAGAAGCCCTGGGTTTAATTCTCAGCACCACAGTAAACACATACTTGTCATACATGCTAAGATCTGACTTGAGGTCTTAATCATGTTCTACCACTGAGCTTCATCCCCAGTTCCTACTCTTAAGAGTATCTGCAAGGTCCTATGTTGAACCCCCAGGGTTGTAAAATGAATAAGTGAATAAAAAATCAAGTGGTAAGTTTCTTACAAAAAAAAAAAGAGAGAGTCTCCTAGATGTCCCTTCCCTGGCTGGCTTTGAACCTTGATCCTTACATCTCAGCCTCCTGAGTAGCTAGGATTACAGGCGTGACCACTGGCTTCCAGCATGATTTTTGTGTATGGTCGACAGGAACTTCTGTCCAGCCTAAGCAGTGAGGATGAGTGTGGCATTTCCATCCCAGTGACTTGGTTTCCCAGGAGGATAGAAGCTCCTGGTCTCCCTCAGCTCTGTTTACAGTTTTGAGTACAAGGCCATCTGCTTTCTTTATCTTATAGACCGTGGTGACTTTGGGTTTTGTTTCATAGGAAAACCTGACATTGTCTCCCAGGGTGAAAACCTGCCTTCCTCTTCGTTTGTGTTCTTCCTGTCAGACCTGGCATCAGCCTTCACAACGGGCTCCAGGTAGCCACGGGGCATGTCTGACTGAGGCTCTGACTGTGGGCACCACGTGCTCTGCCCTCTGCCTGCCCCGGCCCAGGATGGCTGCTGAGACACAGCCTTGCCTGGCCAGCACCTGCAGACGTGGGAGCTGTGCCCTGGGGCACAGGAGTTATTAGCAAAATTCCCTCATTAAAATGACCCGTGGGCCTGGTATTTGAAGTAGGTGGGTGTGGAGATTGAAAGAGTCTCAAGTGTTTTTCTCAGCAAGCCGTGGCCAGAAGAACGAGGAGCCCAGGGTGGTTAAAGAAAAGCAGCCCGATCAGCAGAGAGAGAGAGCTCCTAGACCAACTGGGGCTGTGGATGGTGCACAGATGATCCCAGGGCCGTTCCGGGTGCTGCTGGGAGCTGCTGGTCACCGCTGCAGAAGAACAAGCTAGCAGGTCACAGGTCACCCACTTTTTGCTGGCTAGAGATAAGAGTGTCATAGTTTTGTCTGTCGGGCAGTCTTTGAGCCGTGATCCTCAGATTTCAGCTTCCTGAGTAGTTAGGACTACAGGCGTGAGCCACAGGCGCCG